TTTGGGGTTTTGGTGGTTTGGGTTTGGGGTTTGAATGGACAAATTGCCTGGCTGTTGCTCGCAGAACGAAACAGTGCCCTTGCCACAGAGTAGCAACCGTCATAACAATGATTAGAATAGTAGTTATGCGGCACGAGTACTAATGCTATAGTAGTAATCAATTCACAGAGGACCCCAATTCAACATAGGCCCAACAAATTTGTTATCCTGATCATGGGACCCCAAAAGATACCCCTAACTTTGGGAAACCCCCAAAATTACCGGAATGGAACCCCCACACATTGGGGCCTACCTGGTCAGCAAGCGACGCGAACCCAGCGGGGGGGCCGATGCCGGCCGAGGAGGCTAGCCTTGGACGTTAACCAGAAACCCTAAGCCCTAAATAGGGGACTATACTCCCCCTTAATTAGATAGAATAAACCCTAAACCCTAAGTAGTAGTTTCCGTTTTCTTTTGCATTATCCCCATATAAAACACCTATGTAACCCTAATGTTCTGGGGACTATAGTCCCAGCTAGCCTTGGACGTCATGAGAGCTGCATGCGGATCGGTCTTCCTACCTTACAGCGGCTAGTATATTATAATCCCATAATTTCTAAGGTATAAAGTACTTTGGGTCAGGCAAGATTTATCCACCGTACAAGCATAGACTGGCATGGCAGCGGGGGAGCTTGCAGATAATGGAAACACTTTTCCGCGGCTTTGCGCTGGGCTGCAATGAGATGTCTGGCATCCAGCCTGGAACCAGGCCTAGTCGCGACAAAAGAGGCCGAGCCCTTCCACCGACATGGCTGACTCGGCGGCAGCTGCGCCGTCGATCTCTATGCACATAAAGGACAAGGGGCCTCCAAACTTAAAAGGCGAACTTCGACCCGCGGATATGTACAGGCAAAGTGGGTCTAAATCGCAGCTGTACAGAATACCTAGGCGCCAACTAGTCGCAAGAAGTTACCATGAAGCACGAGCTCACCGGCCAATGCCAGCTTCCACCTGGAGAATTAACAGTACATCAAGATATACTAGAGTTAATGATAATATATTACGAGATTATAGAATAGGATATTATAGTATATCACAAGCCCAGCGGAATTTGGGAGGCAGCCAGGAAGGGTTTGGGACTTAGGGGCACGTCTTTTCCGAGGTTTAGCGTTTAGCTTTTAGTTGGTTTTAGGGCCTCCACTTATTCGCATACTTGTGCGAGTGGATATGTAATTTAGGGACTCTTCAGCGGGTACGAAGGGGCCATGTGTAGGGACTACTCGAACAAGTCCCAAGGTTCAAGGCCTGTGCAGCAGTGTGCAGCTGCCCAAAGCTGTTGAAGCGAACTAGACTGCTTGCTCGAACTCTCATGACAGTATGTTCTTGTTGTGCCATGTATCTCTCTTCACCATGCAAAGCTATGCAGAGCTGATAGATCACCTGAAACTTGCAGTGACAAACGCTTCTTTGGCAACTCTTTGAGAATGAATAGAACATGTGGCGGGGAATGCCAGACGTTGACCAAAACAGGACATCAGTCCCGCAGCAAAATTGCAGACGATAATTCTCACAGATGATGTAGAAAGAAGAGCTTGGTCCTGCAGAAGCATGTAGCGCTGTGAACATGACAGCCCCTCAATATTCATACTTCGATAGTAGTAGATATTAGGATATCAGCAGCAACAACAACGAGGACGATGATGATGACGGCCACGGTCATGGCATGTCAGGGCGTCCCCCTAATCTTTGCAAGCGTGCCCCTGAACCCTAAACTCTGAACCCTGAATCCCTAAACCCCTAAACCCTAAATCCCTAAACCCTAAACCCTGAATCCTTAAATTCCTAAATCCTAAATGCCTAAACCTAAATCCCTAAGCCCTAAATCCCTAAATCCTAAACACTAATCCCTAAACCCAATCTCCGGCTTGCCTCAGAGCTGCATCTCGGGCGGGTTGCTCGGCAGACCTCTTGGGCAACGCGCCAAGAAACGTGCCTCTATGCCCACCACTTACTGGGGGTTAGTAGCAAAACCGGAATATACCATACAGAGATTACATAGCAGCCATGTTCCCTTGTTACTAGGTAACCACAAGTTAGAGCAGCAATAAGAAAAAAGAGCACGACGACGAGAGGTAGCATAGTCAAGCCACTCTCGATTGTTTTGTCAGAATTGGTGGCGTCGCTAGAACTCCTCATCTGCAATGGCTTAGGGTTTGGGGTTTGGGGTTTAGGGTTTAGGGTTAAGGTTTAGGGATTTAGGGATTTAGGGTTTAGGGTGTAGGGTTTATGATTTAGGGTTTAAAGTTAAGGTTTAGGGTTAGGGTTTAAGGTTTAGGGTTAGGGTCAGGGTAGAGGAATTTAGGGGTGTTGCTTCCCAGTAATTTTGGAGCTGGGCTGAACTCCCAGACGGCCTTTTTTGCAGAACCATTCTCCAATTCTAGGCTCTTTAGGGTTTAGGGTTTAGGGATTTAGGGTTTAAGGATTTAGGGTTTAGGATTTAGGGATTCTCCACTTGCTGCGCGGTAACTCATTAGTGACAAAGGTACCCTGTTTCCTTGATGTTCAGCGTCAATAAGGAGATCCCAAGATTAAAAAGCGGGAAGGGTACAACTGGAGTACCTACAGACCATGCTGTGATCCGGTTTGCTTTTAAAGAATTTAAATCAAACGACTGTAATGAGGAAACCCTATAGTTGCCAGTACCCATATTATGGTAACTTAAGCCCTAAACCCTAAACGGTATAGTAATATACCCATATCATGATAACCCTAAACCCTAAGCCCGGGATCCTTAACAGCAAAGCCCAACATGAAAGGTACCTCTTTGTGGGGAGTCCCTAGAATGAGGCTTGTGGTATTTTGGGGTTCTATATTAGGGTCCGCATATTCAGGGCAACTACCATTAAACAGCTTAACTCTGAAGCCTCAACCCTAACCCGCCCTTCCCAACTCTGAGCAACGGTAACCACAGGCTTGACAGCCAAATCCTTTCTCCTAAGACACACCGAACTAGTACTCCTAAACAGTCAGCGGCACCAAACCCATGTTGACGCTGAAGACCCAAATTCTCCGAGATCGCGTGTATTTTTACTAGTTTCCCCAGTAACCTTTCAATGATAAGGGTCCCCTTTTTCCTAATCTTCAGCTTTAATAAGGAGACCCCCAAAATAAAAAGGGAAAGAGGGTACTACTGGGGTACCTAGTTTACGTTCAGAGAGATCGTGTAGGTCAGTTTTCATTTGGGGTGACCTCGAGTGATGTACGTCACTCTAGTTTGCACAAGCCTCCACATGCACTCCATCACTGATGGCAGTGCCAGCTGCTGATGTAGCCGCGGCAGGGGCTTCCTAGGCTCATCTGCACGATCGCGACAGTTCAGCTTTAAGATGTTTTAGCGCTTTGGGTTTAGGATCCAGGGTTTAGGGCTTAGGGCTTACAAATGCAAAGTACCCATACAATAGAGCCTTCCCTTCCTTTCACGGAGCCCAATACTTGGCCCGATACCCTTCAGTTGAAAAATATACCTTGCTTCATAATCCTCACATCGTTGAGGGGACATAATTGATTCTTACTGAACGAGTAAGACAAGCCTGTGAGAAGCAAAGCTTTCTTTACAAATTCCCGAGGCACTTCGGGGGCTTCAGACTGACCAGCACTGGAGGTCTTCGGAGGCAGATGGCCTGCCATTTCGGCAAGCAGTGCTTTGTCGGTAACTGGGTTGCCGCTGCTGCTCAGGGTCACTTTGAAAGAGACCTCACTTGAGTCGGGCAGGCTCCTGTCTTGCTCCGCTGCATCATGGAGGTGATGGGCAGGCCCAGATTCCAGCAGCTCGTGCAGTTTGCATTCCACTGCGGCAATGGGCACCTTGAGGAGGGCTCGCTGCACGAGGCCACGTAGCTTTACAGTGCCCGGATGGGATGTCCTCAACGACGCTGGTAGTACCTTGACGGCCGACCTCAACACGTCCTCGTCAAGACTATACCGTACTGCCTCCTGCACCGCAGTTGCTACACGTGGATCCATCGAGTCCTCACTGTTCGGGCCATGTGATAACACAAGCATTAACAGGATGTCGTGGGTTGGTTCCAACGCATCTACCCGCGCAAGCGGAGGGATCAGACTCTCCCAGGGCAGAGCTGCAGGATTGATGCGCCACAAGGCTACTGCGGCATTTCTCCGTAACGACCGGTCTTTGTCGTCCAGCGCTTTGATCAGCTGCGGCACAGCCTTGGCTGCTGCAGGAGCTATCTTGCCCAAGGCCTCTGCCGCTGCTGTGCGCACGTCTGCATCTTGGTCCTTCAGCGCTTTGATGAGCCGCAGCACTGCTTCAGCTGCCCTGGGGCCCATCTCGCCCAAGGCAATCGCGGCATTTCTGCGCACACTGACATTTTTGTCCTGTAGTTCTTTCAGCCTCTCCGCTAGGATCATCGGTCCCGGAGGTGGCCAAATCGCTTGCCTTGCGGGTGGGGCCTGCATGCGACCTCTGTGCATGTCAACAGCACTCCACCTTGTTGGATGCTTCAGGACTCGAGCGCGAGGCCGCCCAAGCTTTGGAGGATCCACCTATTGTCAATAATGGAACTTCTGCATGCGCACTAGGCTGCCACAATTCCCAGGATTTTATTACTAAAAACAGGGCCGCTTGAATGGGCTTATCCGCTTGAGGGCCTAACATCTCAAGAAAGACAGACTCTGAATGTTGAGCAAATAAGTTCACGGCTTAGGTTTTAGAGCTTAGCATCAAATTTGAGCCTGTGCTACATCTTCAGGATCATGCATGCGCCCACCTAGTTCAAGGATACCGGAGACATGACGCCCACTGCAACTCAACACAGGCGCCGACCATTTACAGATATGTATCAATTTTACACAGATGTGTTAGCCTGCTCTTCTTACCCCCTCCCAGACAAAGAACATGGAACCTGACATGGTGCTCTTTTTGTCTTTGTAAGGCCTTCTTGGGGCTTCCATGTTGGTTTGGGAGGCAACTCAGGACAACTCCGCAGTCAAAACCTGTGGAGACCCTAAACCCAAACCCTAAACCATAACCTCCCAGGCCAAGGACTTCAGCGTCAGACCCTCACGGTTTAGGGTTTAGGGTTTAGAGTTTATGGCCTCTGCACAAATGGAGTACCCATGATGGAAAACCCTAGGTCCTTTTCAAAGGTTATATCATCGGATTATAGGGTAACAAGGGCAAAAGGAAATTACTCTTCTTCGCTGTTAGCGGGTTTGGGGTTTAGGGCTTTGGTTTTAGGGCTGGCTTAGGCCAGAAATATGGGATTTGCCAAAATAGCACCTTCGCACGTGAGGATGATACTATGGGAACCCCATCTTGAAACTCCCAAATCTTGACCTACAAATCACCAGATCCTCTGATAAATTTGACACCTTGCTTTGGTGTCGCTCGCTGAATGGAAAATGCCTTTGCTACAGAGTCGCAATAATGTTTATAATGATCTAGTATAGCAACTCGGGGATCGCAATGCTAGTCCGCAGTAGCAATCTTTGTAAGCAGTAAACATACGCATCATAACCCTAAACCCTAAACCCTAAACCGTATAAGGCACCAAAAGCAAAGTGAGCAAAGCGGGAACTACCTCGTCCCCACGTGATTTGAGCCCGGGAGCCCGGCATGATGACAACAGCTGCAGCTGAAGGCTGGCCTGGGACGTCATGAGAGCTGCATGCGGGTTATCTACCTACAAGCATAGGTGTATATATATATATATCTGTATATTATAACTGTTAGTACTATTCTTATTCTTAATACCATTATAGGGTTTAGGGTTTAGACCTATAAAGAAAACATGATTGCTGTTTTCGCTGTCGCCTGGAAATCCGAACAGAGCAACGTCCTGCCATTTGGCATGGGACATGGGCCCTGGTGCCAAAGGCCACAGAAGCGTGAAGCCCAGCACGTTCCTCTGGGACAATTTTTAGAAACTTCACTAAACCCCAAACCCTAAACTCTAAACCCCAAAACCCTCTTGCCTGACATGCGATCCCCGAACAAGGTTCCCTACGAATTCAAGACCAACAATAGGCAAAGCATGAAAGCCTAAAACCCCAAGCCCAAACTGTTTCGGGTTTGGGCTTTAAAGGTTAGATAGCTCTAAACCCCACACTCCCAACATCAAATCCTACAGCCTAAAGCCTGAACCCTGAATCCTACATCCTAAATCGTCCCAAAGCCTAGACCTTTTAACCCTAATACCCTTTGCCCCTTCCGCACGTGGCTTCAGGCTTGAGGTGCCCAGTGAACTGACATTTCTTGCTTCGGGCTAGGTAGGCATTTTAGGGTTTTGGGTTTAGGTTACGAAGCATAAGTGGTATCCATAATAAGTCTGGGGAGATATGTCAGTAGTCCAAACTTCTAGTACCACGCGTGTGCATATCTGGCCGTGGAATACTCTCCACTTTCTGCAGATATAGATGCATGACAACCATATTCTAGCCAAGAAATCAGCAATAACAGCCCGTCGTGTACACCCGAGCACCTCACCCATAATAAGCATCATGATCGGCTGCCATGCCCAAACCATGATAGGGTTCATGTTCGAATGATCCGATGACAAGAGCATCCATGCT